GGGGGTGGGTATATCTCTTCTTCCCCATGTGTCCTGGTTCTTAAATTCCACCCAAGTGAAATCATCTGGTGTCTGTCTTCCTCTGACTGATTTACTTCATTTTTTTTAATTAAAAAAAAAGGTTTATTTATTTTTTGAGAGAGAGAGAATGGGGCAGAGGCAGAGAGAGGGAGACACAGAATCTGAATCAGGCTCCAGGCTCTGCGCTCAGCACAAGATCATGACCTGAGCTGAAGTCAGATGCTTAACTGACTGAGCCACCCAGGGGCCCCTGACTTATTTCATGATTTAAAGGTCGAGATGGCTGAGTGCCCCAGCAGAGATTCCAACCTGCAGCTGGCACAGATTACAAATTTTTAACACCCAGGCCCAAACCCTCTGGACTTTGGAGCCAGATAAGGTCTCATATGGGGCCAGCTGCTTCTCCTCTTGGGGCCTCCGTTTCCTCATCTGAAAAATGGGTATGATAACAGTACTCCCCTCCCAGGACGGTTGTAAGGTTTAAATAAACAAAGGTTTATTTAGCCCGATTCTTGATATTATAGTTTGTACTCAATAAGCAGCAGCTATAACAGTAACAACTATTACCGTTATTTTATGGCTATCATTTAGTAATAATGTTGGTGACAATGATCCACCCTTTCTTCATTCAACACAGATTTATTTTATTTTATTTTATTTTTTAATATTTTTTTCCCTGAGAGAGAGAGAGAGGTACAGCGTGAGCAGGGGAGGGTCAGAGAGAGAGGGAGACACAGAATCCGAAGCAGGCTCCAGGCTCTGAGCTGTCAGCACAGAGCCCGAAGCAGGGCTCAAACCCACGAACCATGAGATCATGACCTGAGCTGAAGTCGGATGCTCAACCGGCTGAGCCACTCAGGCACCCCAATATAGATTTATTTTATAAAGTTTATTTTGAGAGAGAGAGAGAGAGAGAGAATGTCTGTCTGTGCATGAGCAGGGGTGGGGCAGAGAGAGGGAGAGAGAATTCCAAGCAGGCTGTGCACCAGCAGCACAGAGCCAGATTCAGGGCTTGATCTCACAGACCATGGGATTGTGACCTGAGCTGAAATCACAAGTTGGATGCTTAACTGACTGCACCACTTAGGTGCCCCCCCCACCCCGCCCCTACATATATTCACTGAATCAGGTAATAATACAGACAAAAATCTCTTTCTGTGTGAAGCCTGCCTTCTACTGGAGGGAAACAGGTGTTAACAGATTAATACACAGAACATCAACCCTCTGGTGGGGTCATGGTTATAAAGCCAACATACAACAGGGAGAAGGATGAGAAAGAGAGAGACACCAAGAGAGACAGAGGCAGAGATGAGAGAGACAGAGAGAGGCACTCAGAGACTGGGAGGTAGAGGGAGAGAAAGGGAGAAACAGATACCAAGGGACAGAAGAGAGACGAAGGGAGATGAGACAGGGCAAGATGAGAGAGAGAACTGGGGTGCCTGGGTGGCTCAGTCGGTTAAGCGTCCAACTTCGGCTCAGGTCATGATCTCACGGTTCGTGGGTTCAAGCCCCATGTCGGGCTCTGTGCTGACAGCCAGCTCAGAGCTTGGAGCCTGTTTCAGATTCTGCGTCTCCCTCTCTCTCTGCCCCTCCCCCGCTTGTTCTCTGTCTCTGTCTCTCAAAATAAAAACATTAAAAAAAAAAAAAAAGATGAGTGAGAACTGAGAGTTGACAGAAGGGCCCTGAGAGTCATATACTCACTGAGACAGGGCTTGGGAGACTGCCTGGTCCCCAGCTGCCGTCCCTCCTGGCTATGGACCTCATCAGGTCCCCTAGCAGCTCCAACCCTTATTCTGTGACACCCTCCTATCTTTCTAGACAATTCCCCTTTTGGGCTTTGGCCACTTTGGAGGGTTTTGTCTCCCGCTGACCTCTTTGGCTTGGGCCCGGTGCCCATGCGTGGCATGTGGATGTGGGTGGGAGCCTCTGACACTGGGCTCTGTCACCCTGGCTTGTGGGTGGATTTCTGAATGGAAGCATGGAGGCTGGTGTCTGGGAAATCTCTGCATTTTCTTTCTTTTTTTTTTTTTTAATTTTTTAAAAAATTTATTTCTTAGAGAGAGAGACAGCGTGAGCAGGGGAGGGTCAGAGAAAGAGGGAGACACAGAATCCAAAGCAGGCTCCAGGCTCTGAGCTAGCTGTCAGCACAGAGCCCGACATGGGGCTTGAACCCACGAACCGTGAGATCATGACCTGAGCCGAAGTTGGACGCTTAACCGACTGAACCACCAAGGTGCCCCAGTCTCTGCATTTTCTGCCAGCCTTGTTCTGGGGCGCTGAGTTATCTCTGAATCTGAAACCTGTGGCTCCTGCTACACTCCTCCTCCGGAGCATGATGTCACCTTCCGGAGTTCCCCCTCCTCCAGGGCTCCCCAGCCACTGCGGCTCCAGCAGCTGCCCCTCTCAGAGGTCTGGATGGCCGGAGGCTGCCCCCTCCTCCACAGGTGTTTGGGCTTCAGATTTGGGGCGCACCTCATTCCATACCCTCCTTCTTTCCCACGGGACATCTGACTCCTCTTCCACAGGAATGGAACTCTGTCTCAAAACAAGCCATAAAAGGGGCACCTGGGTGGCTCAGTTGGTTAAGCGTCCGACTTCAGCTCAGGTCATGATCTCACGGTTCGTGGGTTCAAGCCCCACGTCGGGCTCTGTGCTGACAGCTCAGAACCTGGAGCCTGCTTCAGATTCTGTGTCTCCCTCTCTCTCTGCCCCTCTCCCACTCATGCTGTGTGTGTCTCTCGCTCGCTCTCTCTCAAAAATAAACATTAAAAAAAAAAGCCATAAGAGCCCTGATCCTAAACAAGGTCATGTAGAGAGAATGATACTGGCCCTCAGTCACTGAGGCTTAAAAGCGGGGTCAAGGTTAGGGATGAGGTGAAGGTTAGCGATGGAGTCAGAGATGGGCCCAGAAGAGGGAAGGTCTCAGGGATGGGGTCAGTGGAAGAGGGAAGGCCTTCAGGGCCTGGTTTTCCTGTCCCCCCCCACCCAACCCCAGGAAAAAAATTGGGTCAGTAAATACTTGAGAATGCCCAAAGCGCCATGCTGTCAAATCGCTGAATTAAATAAAATATCTTGTTTCAGGTCTGGATGAACCCAGGTGAGGGTGTGATGATGGGGGGGAGGGGCGGAGATTGCTTGTTGCCAGATGAAATGGGTGCGTGGAGACAAGAGACAGCCCCTCCCGTGACCCTCCTTCCCACCCCTGAGCCCTGAGGACAATCTGGGGTCTCCTTGAAACCACCCCCCTTCAGTGGTTCCCTTGACTGAACAGGCCCGCGGTCAGCTTTGAACCCGTCCTCAGCGCATGGGCCTTTTGGGTACTTCCAATGCTTTGCCCAAGGCGAAGGTGCTGTCAGGAACAGCAGAGTCCACGCCGGTTCCCTCCCACGTGACGCTGTTTCCTTCCCACGTGACGGCATCACTTCCTGGCGTTCTTAGAAGCCACTGCGCAGGTGCGAAGGCGCATGCGCAGTCGTGGTTTTGGAGGAGGCTGCCGAAATCACTACCGCGTGTGCCCACGGCAGTGAACTAGAGTTTCTTAAAGTTCTGATGTGAAGCTTTGTCCTGAAGCGTCTGATGGAGGCACCTGGAGGCTGGGTGGGAGGGGCCTGAATGGGGAGTGTGAGTCCTTTGGTTCAGATTCTGGTTTCACCTTTTAATACCTGGTGATCGTCGACCTGGATCAATTCTCTTGCCTCCTTTTTCTCATCCCTAAAATAGGGGATCAAAGCGGTGATGGTCGGGGCGCCTGGGGGGCTCAGTCGGTTGGGCGTCGACTTCGTTTCAGGGCATGAACTCGCGGTTTGTGGGTTCGAGCCCCGCGTCGGGCTCTGTGCTGACAGCTCGGAGCCTGGAACCTACTTCGGATTCTGTGTCTCCCGCTCTCTCTGCCTCTCCCCTGCTCATGCTCTGTCTCTCTCTGTTTCTTAATAATAAATAAACGTTAGGGGCGCCTGGGTGGCTCAGTCAGTTAAGTGTCCGACTTTCGCTTGGGTCATGATCTCGCGGTTCGTGGGTTCGAGCCCCGCGTCGGGCTCTGTGCTGACTGCCAGCTCAGAGCCTGGAGCCTATTTCAGAGTCTGTGACTCCCTCTCTCTCTGACCCTCCCCGGCTCACACTGTCTCTCTCTCTCTCTTCTAGAAATAAATAAAACATTTAAAAAATTAAAAAAATAATAATAAATAAACGTTAGGGGCGCCTGGGTGGCTCAGTCAGTTAAGTGTC